TCCAATTCGTTATGACCGCCAGACTAGCTATTCAATTACTATGCTGAGAGATATAAATTGTAAGCCCCACCAACACTTGGGGGCATCTGACTTATTTGAGCGTAATTCTCTCCAAAGCTTGTAACCATTTGCTCTCCCTCCACAATCGAAATTAATAAAATTCCCGGCGATCCTTGTCATTCCAAGTAGACGTAGGTCACTTTGACTGAACCATTATAAACTTGGTCTTTTCTCTCCCTCTACCTTACTGCATTTTATACTGCTCAATTGACAAGTGGTGCGTAAACCAATTTGTGCATCATCAGTACTTAACCTACTCATCAATACAAATTTCTATCATTCTTGATTTTACTTAATTAACGTACTCATTAATAAAAATTTCTATAGTTCTTTGCTAATACTAACAATCAGGATTTGCATGCTGAATCATTCCTTCTCTTTCACCTTCTCATGCGCAAGAGCGGAGTCAACGGCCTTGCTTTGCTCACTCGTTTAAGTCACGCAAGAGTTCCAAAAGAAGTCCAACCTTTTCCTTTTGAATAGGAGAATTTTTATTTTTATTGAAATAATCTAATGATTTACTTCTACAAAATGCGTGCCATATGCAGGAGACTTGTATGCTGCATGCGGCAGTTTTACTTGGCTGAAGGTGAAAATGCAAAAGTAAAATTATCTGGTTATGAGTTTGTAATGGATGCATTATCACATCCTAAATCAAGAAAGAAACAAAAAAAAATTAATTTCAGATGTTCTGCCAGAAATTGAACCACAAAATTCCAAGGAAGAACCCTAAGGAGGCTACAGGGAGAGATAAAAGCTTAGAAAAAAGGATACAGAAGTTCTCGCAATTATTGCAATCTCATATTGATATAAAGATTACAAAAAGTTATTTTCTTATGGCCCAAGGTTAAGCTACTAAATCAAGCACAAGAACGTCAAGTTACAAATGCAAGAAAACGAAGGAGAAAAAAAGCTCACAGATCAGAAAGGTGAATCTAAATGTTGGAAATGTCGTCGAATTGAAGGGTTTTCTGGCTTGAAACCTCCCATAAAAAATTCCAGTGCCGAATAGATATTCATCAGGTTGAAGTGCACCTGGGTGGTATTTTTGAAATACCTTGACGTTGCAGTTCGTCCACCACAATATCAGTAGATGGAGATTTTAGTCCAAGGGGAAGTGGCAGCCATGGCTTTGATAAAACATCTCCAATAGTTGCATCTATGCTCTCCTTCGACTGTTGCATGTACAACCAGGAGGGAAAAACGAAGTCAGAATATCACATTTAGATATGTTGCAGAGATTATTCCAAAACCCTACAGCATTTATTGATCAATCGTATTCTAAGGCTCTTGTAATTCTTTTCTAAAATTACTTCAAGGAAGAGAGCAGCTGATAATCCCCCAAATTTCAGATAATTTAGGTAGGTGAAGATGTGCTGTGAAGGTGCAATTAACGAGATACAAAAGTAAGCAAACAAATAGCATACAAATTTGCATGGTTTGAGAGAAATATATTATATCCATTGGAGTAGCTGTTTTTCATTACGTAAGAATACGGGTTATAACTTAGATATTGACACGAATTGAAAATCTTAATCTTGATGCATTGCATATTGCATAATGCATAAGAAAAACTCAATATAAAGTGGACATTCTAGACTAAGTGAACAGTTGAAAGAGAAACACACAAGATCCCATCTCCCCTAATTAGGCTTGGCAATTCTAGGCAAAATCTGTATACCCAACATAAACTTGGACATAAAATTAGCAAGTTTCAGTTTAGTGTTATAAGTTTTAGACGTTAAACGAGTGTGAATTTGTTAGACTCATTAAATAAATTGGTTGAACACGAACCTAATTAATCACAACACAAATACACCACATATTATTTTATATATGATATGAATTTAACAAGACACGAACTTAATGACTTATGAAACGATGCATGAAGCGATGGCTAGATACATAATAATTTTAATCATACAGTGGAATAAGGTAATTCAAGCAGCGAAGCAAGGCATTCTCACAGGATGAAAGTCGAATGGCGGGCGGGAGCATGTTTGTCCCGTCGGAGCAGCCGGGACACCAATGCCAGGGTCGACTTTGTACATGGCATGTCGTGGAATGCTGGGGACCGGTCCAGTCGGAAATCTCTGCATGAGTTGCCAAAAAATAAGCCAAAAAAGAATAGTGCTTCTGCACGAAGTGTATGATTAAAGGTGTTGTATAAGAGTCCAAACTCATGGTAATTGCACTTAAAATACTTCCAAAAATTAAGGAGTAATTAAGTAGTTACCATTGGTGCCAGTGTGGGTGGGAAGCAAGGTGTCCCTGGTGTTGGAGCAATAGGAACCTACAGCAAACGAATAAGCAAATTGAGAGAGAGAGAGAGAGAGAGAGAGAGAGTCAGAGAGATCATTAATTACCCTTTGGCGGGGTGGGTGCCAGAAAGAAGGGTCTGCTGGTGGTGGATGAAGAGGTGGAGCTGGTGGCCATGTAGGTGGCTGCGGTGGAGGAGGAGAAGGTGAAGGGGCTATTTGTTTTGGCCAAATGTGCACTAACGATTGGTCGACGGATGGATGGCCCCACACGTGCAACGGTCTAAAATGGTGCATTGGTGCCATTGGAGGGAAGCCCATGGTGGGTGCTACCCAAAGGCTCATCTCTCTCTTGTTTCCCCCTCCTCCTCCTCCGGTGGTGCCGCCACCATACAGTTGCCGTCTCTGGCTCCAGCTTGCTGCCTCGGCTTCTCGAGCTAGCAAGTGTTTCCGATGTGATCGGTATTTCTGCACAAATAATCATTTTCCATTCTAAGTTAGAATCTGCCTCCTTGTTGCTCAATCAAGACTACTCTTACCATTCATTTTAGAAAATAACGAGACAAAGTATGTAATTAAATATTTCAGCAAGAAGAAGTCATCCAAGTTTTACATGTGAAAATTGTTGGAAACGCGCTTGTGAGAGGCAAGAGCACTCCCTCATGGAGTATGTAAAGAAATCCAATCGAGCTCATATATAAAGTTTGGAACAAAAATCATTTTGCACTTGATCTTTTCACTCCGGTGAAACCCATATGTGAGATGCAAGAGCAATTTCACATCAGGTAATTTACTTAAAGAACACAAATTGATCAGTATATTCGGGATTCAAGCAATACTTGCAAGGATATAAAAACATGATTTTTTTTTCCAATTTCTAAAACAAACTATATTATTAAGAAAAACATTATTGAGGACCTAATTTAAAAGTGAATTTCGAACTTTAAAAATCACAACTAATCTAATGACTCTATTGAATTAAGTTCTATGACATTACTCTATTCTTAATGTCTAGAAAAAAGAGAAATCTTGATAAAAATAGCTTTGTCATCGTCTGGTTCCAGAGAGAAAAAAAAAAACATGGGGATGGAAACAAAACTTGAAAAGCATTTATTTCTTGTTGTATGGACATGTATCTAATTTGTGTTTTCTGGTACTCCAGACCCAAACACTTCACAAAATCTTAGACTCTCCAAATCTTACATTCTCGATCCTAAAGCAGTATTGTATGCTTACAAAACAATATATAAATATAATTTGTAAATTTTCCCCATTGTCTTGACCATGATTTAAAACAGGATATTAGGCTATTAGAAATTCTACTACATATAATACCATAGATCTAAGAAACATTGGCCATGGCCCGTGATATAGGAAAGCTTCTCCATTTTTTGTGAAATCTTATTTTCCATAACATCAAGAAAGAGGAAACAGAAAAACACAGACGAAATCTAAAAACCAAAAAAGTCATTAAAAGCTGTAAAGCTTCTAGTTATGAAAAGAAAAATATGTACAAGAAAAAAAAAAGTGAAGAGAAAGGACATTATGTACATACTTGAAGATGGCTAGCAATGTTATGGCGAGTAAGACAATCTATTCCCATAACCTCCAGAATTCTTGAAGGGACTGCCTTATCCACACCCAGCTGCTCCACTGCTTGTACAAATCGCCTGTGCAGCTCTGGTGTCCAATCCACCTACACACAATTCAACATATTATATATTTCTCTAGTGTTTTCTCTCTCTCTCTCTCTCTCTCTCTCTCTTTCTCAATCCAAATTCTAAAAGGACCCAAAAGACTTGGTAATAGAAGCAGTCTGCTTTTGACAACAATGTCTAAGATGGATTCAGAAACACCCATGTTTCTCGTGAGGTTTTGATTTGCAATCTATGAGGCATGTGAAAATCCTAAATATTTTTTATTTTTTTTTTGGGGGGGGGGGGGGTGGGAGATGGAGATATACATAGTTATATATATGCACGCAAACGCAGAGAGAGAGAGATTGTTTCATAAGAATTAGGACTATGGCATGGTACAGGATCTTCAGCGTTTAGTAACAAATAAACCTAAATATGTAGATGATGTTAGATTGAACCCAGTACAAATTACCTTCACCTTCCTCTTCCCTTGAGAATTCTTAGACTGTGTTGATGATTTTCTTCCTTTATGAACTTCCTTTGGAGATCCATGAACTCCAACAGGCTCATCTCTCTTACTTACAATTTCCTCTCCTTGGTTCAAGCTTGACCCTGAACCAAAGCCCGAACCCGAAACTTTGTCCTCCTCATCTTTCACTGAATTATCATCAGCCCTTTCGACTGATACTGATATGTTCATCTCCGACTCCTCACCTCCACTAGCTGACAACTCAGCAAGACTTTCTGGGTCCATATCCAAGTTTGGCAACGCATCTTCGTTGTCGATGTCGCCGAAAAAGTCATCGAAATCAATACTATCCAGCAAATTTCCACCGCAGAAGTCAGAAAATTCATCACCTCCGATCGAAAAACTCTCCATCTCGCCCTCTCTCTCATCTCTGGTGTTCCCGAAAGGTGACACAGCAAGCATTCCAAAGTTCTTAACTGGATCAACAGTTCAAACGCTCCCCCTCCTCTCTCTCTCTCTCTCTCTCCCTCTGTATCTATATGTGCATATATAGTCACTATATGGTGCAACTAGGTGTTATATATTGCATGCAATCCCCACCAGGTTATAAAGAAGGGGTGAAGAGATTGAGAGAGTGGTTCTCCGGTGAGTCTGACGGAAATTGGTCGGAGGGACAATCAGTGTTGGTGGGTTGTCTGGTTTTGCTGTTTTCTTGCTTTCAGTGTAAGTGGAGCGTGGAGACGTTGAACCTCCACCACTATTTGTGTTGAGGTCTCTGAGATTTGTATTTATGTTTCTTGTTTTGGCTTGCTCTATATATAATATTTCTACATATGAATGAGGTTTGTGGATGGCCTTTTTTTGAAGTTTAAAAAAACTGTGAAGAGCTCGTGAGTTGTCTTACTCATTTCTCCAATGGAGGAGAAATACAATGTCCAAATTGCTGTCGGACAGTAAGCTCATGTATATCTGTTTGTGGTATGTATCCTAATGGTGTCTCAATCAACAATACGGCACTGTCAATTCAATGCGAGAAAGTAATTACATCAATAAATAAGACTAATAAATTAAATTTAAATAATATTATTCAAAAAATAAATTATATGTAATTACGAGTTAGAATCATGGGAATTGACTAGTTGGATAACATAATAGTACTAAAAAACTTGGACTTAATAGAATAAAATAAAATAAAAATAATAATAATAACACTTTATACACAGCATTAAATAAAGATAAGATACTAAAACACAAATTTTTTTTCTTGATTTTATATGTATGTTATTTAACTATTTGTTTTATTGTTTTGGTATTATTTGTTGTGCTCACTCTTTAATTGATTTTAATTTGGTTCTAAATTCATAATTTGAAGGTAAAATTATTTGTAATTAATCTACAACTAATTTCTATTTTTTAAAGATAGATGACTGATTTTTTAGTTGGATTTTAGTAGTATTATTACTCTTACTTCTTGAATTTTTATTTGATGGCTTTATAATTTTAATATTAAATATAAAAAGACATCAAGGTCAATTATAAATAGATGTAGTATGTCTTTCAATTTGATATAAAGAGTTGTAATTAATTTTTTTTATGATTTTCTTTCATACAAGACATACGTATCCATTTTAACCATTTTTGACTAATAGTTAATATAATTGTATCGTCTTACTTTTATTTTATATATTTCTTCTATTAGTAATGTACGACATGTGTTGCACGTAAACATAATTGAATAATAAGTTAAATAAAAATTAAAATATATTAATAATTAAATTCAATAATAACTTATATGTCAAATAATTAATTTTTATTTTAGTTATTACTAAATCTAATTATTAATCTATTCTACTCCTCTTGGAGTACTTAATCTTTCTTTTGTTAGGCATCTTTTTAGCCCCCTCAAACATTTAGTTTGTTGTTTATAATAGAGCTTAAAAATTGTCAATCTTGAGGATTTGCACATCTAATTATACTATAGATTTACTATTGTTTATATTAATATAATGATATTATTGCATACCAAAAAATCAAATATGACATATTTAATTGTAGAATTCAATCTGACAACTGCATATTAATAAAATTCTAAATCATGCTATTAATGTACATGTATTATAGCTATTGAAGTTCTCTTAGTTACAAAATTATCTCACAAGAAGTGTTTTGGTTTAAATGAAATTTGTAGGGTAATAGAACATACAAGAAAAAATGATGATATTAATAAAGATATGTAGGATATAATCGACTTTCTAATAATAATTCGGGATAAATTAAAAAATTAAATTTTTTTTATAGATGTTGACATTTATAAGTATGTGTGTGTGTGTGTGTGTGAATCGAGTGTAATTGGCATTTGACTTTAATATGACCATTTTGTTATTTGTAATATTATTTGGTAGTGTTCTTTTTCATTTTCATTAAACAATTTTTTGACAATAGGCTTTTATGAAATTTTTTTTGTGAGCAATTTAAATTTTAATGGAGTTTAGATATGTTATGTACACTATTTTATGAACATGTATAAAATATAGGATCATCTTTGTAAAATGCCTAAAGTAATTAATTACTTCACATTGGAGCCGACCTTAGTTAAAGTGCCTAGCCTTAAGTCAGTTTCTAACTCCGCCCTTGCGAGTGCACTACGTCAAGTTTTTACTTTCTCTCGAGTCTTCTTCTCTGCTCTTCACAAGTACTATGTCCAATTTATTTGTATAAGAGTCTAGTTTTCAAGGAACAAAACTATAGCGTTTGATGGTGTATGTAACACGGATGAGCAAAATGTATAAATGTGTAAGTGAGTCTGGACCCGAGCTTCTTGGCTTGTGAGGGTAATGTAACAATTTGAAGATATGTGATGATTTACACAGTATAATTATAGTGGTTTGTCAGTTCGAGAACTCGATTAAACCACTCTTTAATGAAGTCTCTTGCTTTGAGAATCTGTATTGATGGTTTTCAGATGGTCACACAACTTTTCTAGTACAATTTTTTTATGCCCCCCCCCCCCTTGGGATGAGAACAATGTACAGTATTTATAGCCTAAGCTATAGTTCCATGGGATCTGTAGAGAGACTGGCGTTTATTACTGTTGAGGGTGCGCATTGTGGTGATTTGAGGATTTGGCGCCTAGACTGGTGTTTATTACTGTTGAGGGTGCGCGTTGTGGCTGCCAGCTATTTTCCACTCATCTTCTTCGAGGTGCAGGTCGAGCGAGCCTAAGGTTGGGACCCTTGAGGGCAAACTTGCTTGGCTGAACTCCCAGGCCGACATCAATTCTCGAGCACAAACTTGTAATTTCTTTTGAGCAGGGGCTGAGCTGAGCCTTTGTTTGATGACCTCGACTTTCGTGCGAAGAAATTTTTATGGCAATTTTGTGCAATCATTTCTTTCTTGTTTATCGCGCACGTCCTGTATTCTGATGACCCTTTAAATGCTCTTCTAGCAACCGAAACTACCTCATTTCTCCATTTCTCTTAACAACTTAGGCTTTGCCCCCTCTCTTCCCTTGTGATTCTTACTTTCTCAGTCCGTCTAGGATTTTGCTGAAGGAGATTTTCTCAATTTTGACTCTAAAGGTCCTGCGAGGCTTTCTTCCTGACTCTGCTTTGGGCTTTGGTTTTTCATTTTGCCCTAGATTACGTACATTCTTTGGCTCTTTCTTTCCTCTTCGTTCTGGATCCCTCGAATTCGAGGTAGTTGGTGCATTTTTGGACCTTTCATTTTTGCTATTTTAGGAATCGCGGTTATTCCTTGTCTTCCCTTCCCCTCTTTTTAGATCCTTACTCTCCTGCTTAGGTCTTCCTCATTGGTCGCTATTGTGTTGTCTCCTGGACTTTTTAGGGAATGTTTTTCTAACATTCCTCCTCTTTATCTCTCATTCAGACTTCCCTTTTCTTATCCAATCATGTCTGCATCTTTTGAAGCTACAGTCTCGTCTGTTTCTCTCATGGGAGATAGGTTTTCGAAAATAGAGCAGGATGAGTTAGGAGAGGTTGGTGAAAAAATAGATAATTTTTCTGGGTCGAGGCTGTAGAGATGGTTGAGGTTCCTCAGATTTCTCGAGGGTCTCCTTTTAATCCTAAGCGGTCTCGAAAAGGAAAAGCCAAAATAAGTTCAGGTAGTGATAAAGACTCTGGGCCCGCCCCTCGTGCCTCAGACCTCATTGATCATAGTGAGGTCACTCATTCTCTTATGAAGGTCCTGTCCACTAGATTTGGTTTTCCTGAGGGCATACGTTACTGGATCCCTTTATTGACATTAGATATGATTCCGAGGTCCTAGAGAAGACCTATTTCCTCATGGCCTCTCTTGAGAATGGACTATGGTTCCCTATTCACCCCTTTATCAAGTCCATCTTCCAACATTTTAATGTTTGCTCTGCTCAAATCTCTCCTAATTGCTGGGGGGGGGGGGGCGGTCTTGGTAGGTCTCCTTATCTTCTTTAAGAAAAACGAAGTTGGTACCCCTACAGTTCATTTACTCATGAAATTCTTCCACGTCAAGTTTTAGCCTGACGATTGTTTGTACATTTTCAAGTGGGTAAGTACCCCAGCCTTGATTACTGACCTGTCTAGCTCTCATAAGAACTGGATGAAATAGTTCTTCTTTGTGTTAGGGAAGACGTGGAAATTTAACTCGAACGATGTCGCTGATACCCTTCCTGTCCCACGCTCTTGGGCAGGCCCTGATAACCTGGGTGAGTTCTTATTTTGGGCAAGTTCATCTTATCTCCTCTCGCTTTTGCATTCGCTGACCTCATTTCTTTGGGTCGTTTCAGGTATCCGTCCCGAGTTGGGAGTTGAAAACAGGTTTGCTCTAATAGGGCTCAAGGATTGCAGCCCCCAAAAATACTCTAGCTTGATCAAGCATTCTGAGCTCACCAAGCTAGGTTTTAGCCCTCCTAAAGTAACGTTTGAGACTCCTATTCTCCTTTCTATAGTTGGAGCAGAAAAGGGTGCATGTAGTACTTCTTCCTTTTGTCTTTAACTTTTATCTCATTTATCCTTTCCTTATTTCTAATCTTTTTATCTTTGGTTCCTTAGTTTCTACATCAATGGAGCCATTTTTTAAGGACTTTAGGGCTAAGGTCAATGAAATGAAGAAAGCTAAGAGTGGGGGCAAGCGTAAGGTAAAGGTCAAGTCAGGCAGTGGTGCAGCCCCTTCAACCAAGGTGCCGAGGTGAGGGGGGTGCCCCACTTCCCCTCCTTCATCCCGGACGGCCCTTGTTCTACCATCGAGCTCTACAACGATCATGCAAACCTTTCTCCCTCGAAGGGTTGCGCCTCTCCCATCTGGGGGGTTTTTGAACAAGGTGAGTCCCGACCTCTCCCTCTTCAGCAAAAGTCGAGAGAGCCCTAGAGACCATCACCTGATCTTACCTGGGTCTACCTCTCTTGGGCCAGTTGAGGGGTCCAATCAGCTACTTCTCAAGGACTCCAGGAATAAGAAAAGAAAACACTCCAAGGTCGAAAGTGAGGGCCCCCTTATGAATAATGTGAAACGTGCAGCAGAGGCCATTACCTCCATTATCCCAAAATGACATTCAAAAGGCTGTAACTATGCCCCTTGGATCTTCCATTTTCATTGCTCTATTCGGTGCTACTTCAATAAGGTTCTGGTTCTTCAAATCCCATCTTTGTCTTGCATCATTCCTTTGCGTTAATTCCCATTTTTGGGTTGTGCTTGCTCTTAGCTGGTCATCCACGTAAGTGGCTTGCTGAAGCGAATACAAGCTCTCGAAAGCTCTACCAATGCTTCTAAGGCATTTGAGCTTAAGGCTACTAAGCCAACCTTTGCTAATGACGACCTTAACTCCCAAGTCTAGGACTTGTAGGCACAGGTAGAGAGACAAAATTCCATTATTAAGGATCTAGAAACCAAGAAGGGAAGGATCGAGGGTGAGGGTAAGCAAACCAAAGAGGAGCTTAGGAAAACTAGGGAGGATCTTAGGCTAAAGACTGATGAATGGATCAAGGCCAGCCAAGAGGCCTTCGAGGCTTTGGGCTCTTATAGGGACATGAAAAGGGAGTATGATGTCTTGGTAGAAATGAGTTATGTCCCTCAGAATGAGCTTGAGGTGTAGAGAGCTGCTGCTCAAAAGAAAGATACTTTGGTCGCTAAGTTGGCAGACGACGTCACTACCAAGTTTGATGTTAGGTACTTTACCTTCCAACGTCAAGCCATGCGCAGGTTCCTGAACTTGAATTTTGATGAATTTGAGCCCTCGTCTAATAAGGAGGAGGTGTCTATTGTGGAAGGAGAAGTTGGGGCCTTAGCTCCCCCAATTCCTGAGCTCACCCTTGAAGGCACTAGAGTCCCTCCTCCTACCTCCGGCGAGGTCCTAGCCTAGAAGGTTTCCTCTACTCTCGCTAGCTCTACAATCCTTGTTCCTAGTTCCACCGCTGGAGTTGCTAACTTGCCCCTTGCTCCTACTAATGCTCCCACCAGGGTCCTTGTCTCTAGTGAGGTTCCTATCGACCTAGAGGCTCAAACTTCTGAGCTGACTTTGACCTAAGCTGGAGATGAGGTCCCAGCCGACCTCGAGGCTCAGGCTTCTAGGCTGACCTTGCCCCTAGTTGGGGACGAGGTCCCTGCCTCTACTCTTGCTCCAACTGAGGTCCTTCTGCCTTTGACTTCTACTGTTAAGCTGCCAGATATTATTTCTGTTTTTGCCCCAGGGACTAAAAAATTGTTCCTCTCTCTTTTTTTTTTTTTTGAGGAACTTCAAATGTTTTTTTGTTTTCCTAGCACTCTGCTACTACTATTGTTTTGTTTTCCAAGCACTCTATTACTTTTGGGAAATGTAAATATACATTGCTTTTTTGAATTGTTCTATCATTGATGTACCTTGCCATGCTTATGTTTGTTGTACTACTGTGTTTTTGCTATGCTTTTACTACCCTTACCCCCATACTTCGAGGAACAGTTATTTCTTCTTGAAATAGACTTCCAAGAACTATTAAAGATCTGAAGAGCCAAAGAGCTGTTGGATGGCTAAGGTCTTAGCCTTGGAGAGCTCATTCTTATAAGCTGAGAAGGCTGTGTGGCTAAGTTCTACTTAGGTTAGGCTAAAGATTTTTTAGTTTGAGCTTACACTCACATAGAGTTGTGTTGTTTATGTTATGAGGTCTTGCGGAATTATACGAGCTCGCAAAACTGAGCTGCCAGAGCCGAACCAGCAGAATTGAACACTGGTTCTCTCATCATTGTTGCGCATGCACACCTACTTTTCAAATTTGTAACTACTGTAATGATTATGAAAACGCAAAGGGTGGGGGTGTCCTTCCGTCTTCCCACATTTCTTGTCCCTTTAAATTTGGGATTTCTTGAAGTTTCCTTAATCTCCAGACTTCCTCTTGCATACGAGACTAAAGGTTTCTTGATTATCTCCAAGGTTTGGGATTTCTTCTTGTGTGTCATTCTTGGGATCACGTTCTCAGAATTTCTTTCACTTTGCGTTACCCATTTTTCTTCTGATTTCCAATGGTTGCTTCTCCTTCTTCTCTTTTCAAGCAACAAGCCTCTACTAGGGTCAATTGGAGGTGGCACTCCAAATACTTGGTTCCATCTGTGATAACATCCTCAAATTTTGACAGGATTAAGAGGCTGTTTTTTCCTTCTGTAGACTTGTCTGTACAAGTCCCAAGCCCTGATGAACCCTACAACTTTCTTTCTCAGGGGGGAGGTTTGTTTCTTTGAAGGTGCCTTCGAGATTGGCCCTCGTCTCCCCATCCACCCTTTCATTGGGTGGATTCTTGTCTATTAAAAATTGTGCCCTTCTCGCCTCTCTCCTTGAGGGTGGGGCACTATGATTAGTTTTTTCCTTTTCTGCCGCCTATAAGGCAATAATGAGTTCCCCGCTGTTACCGAGTTCCTCTACTTCTATGAGCTCGAAGAGAACGAGCTCCCTTGTTTCAGCTACTTCAGATAGAGACATTTCTTTGACCCCCCCATGGGTCCTTGAGATTCCTTTCTCTCCTGAAGGATGGGCCCAGGCTTTTGCTTTGCCTCTGGAGATTCTTAGAGGTCCAATGAGCAACGCTATGACCAGTCTAGGGTTCCTCGTTCCTGAGAGAGTTTTTCTTACAAACGTAGAGGTTTTAGGAATTTTTCCCGCTAGATTCATAGTGATTGGCTTCTTATAATACTTTTGTTGTGCAGATGCTCCCACCTTGATCCCATTGGAGCTGTTGAGGGTCGATCAGGTGACCTATGTTGAGCCTGTCCCCTTTTCAGAGCTCGTCACGCCAGAGAATCTCTCACTGTTCAGT